CAACCCCACACACTATAAACACATGAATAATTCATCCAGCCTATGTGCTTTTAAGATATAAAAGCACTTAGGATGAGCATCATGCTGCACACCACTATCATACATATTTGCTATTGACCAGTGCTCACTGGCAGTAGGTGACTTTCTGTTCATTGGCAGCCCGCCCCCATTTTCCACTCAACGTGGAGAGCTCTAGATGGATGGAGGGAAGGAACGTCTGCCGCAGCAGCTCTTTATCACCGCAAAGGCATGGTGCTCGCTCCCCGGATGTGTGGGTGTCTGTTTGAAGAGGAATATGAGCGACTTATTGAGCAGACATGTGCATGAAAATGGTTGTTGATTTGTTATAGTTACACTCCTGAAATCCTGGGACGACTGTGTGTGTGTGTTTGCCGTGGTTGACAACTTTTAAGTAGCTGTTTGGTGCCTTTTCTTTTGGACATCATACGTGCGTTGTTTTGAACTATTGTTCTGGAGCAACTTCACCCATCAGTGTGTTATCTAAGATGGAAAACAAAGAGTGTTTTGGTTCCAGGCCCTTTGCAGAGACCGCCGCACGCAGCAGGGTTGACCAGCATGTGACGTTTATCAGGAATGTTAGACACCGAAAAAGGCAGGGGCGTTAGATAAACAGAAACATTCTTTCTCTCTGACTTCTATCTGAGAGATGGGAGTCTCATTCTTGCACAAAGAAAGAGCCAAAAGAAAGGCCTGCCGGGGATTGTTTGTTTATGGCGGCCTGGTGCGCCTGCAGGGCTGGAAGAGGGGATTGTAATCCCTTATCAAAGTGGTTTATTCAGGTCTGAGGTTGGCAGACCTTTGGTTTAGCCCCTAATGCATGTAGACCATCCAAATCCCTAAAACCCACCACCCTGCACAGCCCTCCTTACCCCTCCTGACCTCATCTGCCCGTCATTCCCCATCTACAGTAAAACCAGTCAGCCAGGGACATTACGCCATATATCAGAGCCTTGTTTCTGTGCCTGCTGGTGTTTCAGAGAAAATGCTAGTTTGGGGAAAATGAATCACAGCTACCAGACTCATTCGCTTACCCAGGGAGTGCTGGAATCAAGCTAAGCCTCTCCAAGACATGACATGTTCAAAGGCTCTCTGTTTGTGGCTCACAATAGGAGTGGCACCAGTTTCCTGCAACGAGTCAATTTACTTTTTGTGCAATGTCTTTCTAAAGGAGTTCACACTGTACATGCTACAACTCCTTCCTACCTAGTTTTAAACCTCTTCTTTCCTGATATCTGCAGTGCCATCACATTGACTTTTTCACCCCCTGTTTAACAGTAGTGAGCGTCTCTGTTTGGAGTTAAATGCTCCTCTGTGGAAGTAATCATGAGACGTGGACTCCCTGTGGCACTGTGAGCTTTCCCAGTCATGCTGACGTTATGTTCTTGGAACGCTTTCAAGATCGCAGGCAGCCTGGAAATGTAGATTTCAGCCTAGAAACCTTTCACTGCCGGCTTTAGATTTGCCTCTAACCCTTGTGTTCAATTTCCAGGTTGTAAATAAAGTGTAATTGAATGAAATTTAAATTTAGTTTTATTTATAAAGTAACCATTCTTGTCTGAAAGAGGTTTAAATTGTGAAGTAAAGACATTACTTTTAATACACAATCAGAAAATGAGCAGGACCTAGGAACTATGGGGAGGAAGAACTCCCCTTTAAGAGGAGAGACCTCTTAAATGAGAGACCTCCAGTGGAGATAGGCTCAGGTAGGGGCAGCCATCTGTCTTTACTGATAGAAAAAAAAAACTTAGAGAGATCACAAACAACAATCAGAACAAAACACAAACTGCAAGAGAGAGAAGACAAGCGTTAATGATATGCAGTGGTGAAAAAGACTTTTATTATTCCAAAAATAATAAAAAAATTGTGTTTGTTTTCTCTGAGCAACAAGTCAAAAAACACATTTACTATAACTACAAAATCAATAAGCAACAGAAAATCAAGGTTTTTGCAATAACCCTTTAATCTAATCAAGACCATAAACAGCTGCTGCTGTGTGGAGTGGTAAACCTTTGTCACACAGCTAACATAAGCTACAAACATTAGCATGTCTGGCTTCCTAGCTTGCTATGATTGCTATAGTGGAATTAGATCCTATGGCATCTGAATTTAGTTTTATATAATTACTAGTGCTGTCAGTGTTAATATCGTTAAAATGACGTTAAGGCCATAACCGCATTAACGCGGCAAATCTCAGTTAGCGCGGATCGCCCTGTGCGTTGGTCTGCACAGCGCTAACGCGTTAACGAGCTAACCGTGCTAACACGTTATTGATTAATAATATTTTGGGGGTAAATCTGTTATCATTGTAAAGAGTATATGCTCCATAACAATGAGGGTTTACAGGAGTAGCAGTGCAACTACCCACTCAATTTTTTTTATGGTCCGTGTCTATTCATTACAGTTTATATTGTTTAATATCT